CCCATCTGGAAACTCGATTTTTAAAAATTGTTTATTTCATCTTTACATGCTCACTTTGGAGGCTGGTTGGCTGCATGTGATGCTTTAATGCATGTGATGCTTTAATGTGACAGCGTGATGCTGTTAGTGAGCTTCTATGCGCTAGCTGATGTTTGGCTGTGTAGCCGCGTGATGCGGTTCCAGTCAATACCCACTAATTGACCCTTGCTCACCATAGAGTCTCCTGTAGCTCAGTGGTTAGAGCATCCGACTAGATCACGGAGGGTCGTGGGTTCAAATCCCATCTGGAAACTCGATTTTTAAAAATTGTTTATTTCATCTTTACATGCTCACTTTGGAGGCTGGTTGGCTGCATGTGATGCTTTAATGCATGTGATGCTTTAATGTGACAGCGTGATGCTGTTAGTGAGCTTCTATGCGCTAGCTGATGTTTGGCTGTGTAGCCGCGTGATGCGGTTCCAGTCAATACCCACTAATTGACCCTTGCTCACCATAGAGTCTCCTGTAGCTCAGTGGTTAGAGCATCCGACTAGATCACGGAGGGTCGTGGGTTCAAACCCCATCTGGAAACTCGATTTTTAAAAATTGTTTATTTCCTCTTTATATTATTATTATTACTATTTTATTATTATAATAATTATTATTATTATTTGTTTCCAGGAGTAAGTCGGAGAACGTCATGCCACTTTATTTTATTTATTCAGCACTTATTCACATAATCGTTGAGAAGTATTTGTCGTATAAGTCAAGCCTTTCACCGTTAAAACGCCTAAGCAATGGTAACAATATGGTAAACAAGGTACCTTCAAGAGGTATATTCACAAAAAAGTTCATCAAAATGGTCCTTTAGAAAAAATAAAATGATTTACGAAATTTTGCAACTGCCGGCAGATTTTCGATATCTATGGTCAGTTGCTCTTTATTCAATAACTATGATGCTGATTATAATGGTGAATAACAACAAAACAAATTAAAAAAGAACCAAAATATGTTCGATTTAAGACTGGTTGCAATTTTTTTTGGGGGAGGGGCTGGTCCTTTTCTATACACTAACATATATAAATTTTAAGCTGAGGTGGATTTTCCGGGAGTAGTAAGTCGGAGAAGTTATGCCGCTTTCCTTGATTTATACCTAGATTCACAACTGATTTCAAATATCATTTTGACATGTTGTTGGATGGGTGTAGCTTTCCATAGCATATCCTTCTTTTAAGGGAAGTAGAAAGCAGGGGTAAAAGCGCAGTATCTTGATATGTTTATAAAAAAAATTGAATAAATAGGTGAATTAATAAATCAATAAATAGCTGACAAGAAAAAAAAAATTGAAAATTGACGAGAGAGGCCATTTGACTGACAACTAATACCCAAAATGAAGAGTCTATTTAGCCAATAGCTCATTTCCGAATTGCTTTTAACCTCTTTTTCAAAGCGAGTCCTGGTGCTCATCCTTTCGTATGGTAAGTAAGTTTCCATTCCCATGCAAATTAAACTCATGGGTAAGAGGTTCTAGAGTTCCGTTTAAATCACGCGAGGTCGCAGAAGACTTCATCCTCGCTGTAGCTGGTCTACATCTGCACTCATAAGTTTTAGGTCTTTATTATTTTAATAGTTTTTCCTATTTAGTAATGCTAAATTTTTTCCTTTCTCATATATCGTAATCAGTCCTCTATCTTGAACATTGATATTAACCATTTTAAATATTGGTAAATAATTAGATATATGGTTTAATATTGTAAATAACTGCTATAATTACTATTAAACGAGGCGGGCCAATTTTTATCATAGTTTTTGTAAATACTTTTAATGATTATAGGGAATAAAGGTTTTGTTATTATTCAAATTAAACTCATTTTCATACGTATGGTTGAGCACCAGGCCTCGTTTTGAAAAAGAGGCCAGACGTAATTCAGAAATGGCCTATTATCCGTTGACAAGTGACTTGCCTTTCGCACCACTCTGTTAGGTTGATGAATGAATATCAAAGCCTTATCATTTCCAATCCGAGGTCGTTTGTCGAAAGTTTTCTCAGATTATGGCTTTAACAAAACTCAAAAACTCGTTCCTCCTGCAGATTGAGGCGTTCAAAATTTCTTGGAAGCGGAAGAAAACCAAAATACGAAAAGAAAACCCGAAAGTTACTATGCTTTGTTGATAGCTTTTCTCGTAGGCTGAGAACGAAAATTGACAACTGAAATATTCGCCACCGGCCGTCTAAATTAAGGTTATGCCAATTATCTGTTTTCGCAACGATTCAACATATTCTTATCATCTCGAGCATGATCACCCAGCGCCCTTGCGATTTTTTTTTCGCGAACTGTATGTTCCCTTTTATTTTAATTTACTGATAAAGGCAAATTTTCTTGGCAATAAAGGCGTAAGCGCACGGAGCTGACAAAGTTTGTTTGTATCCACCAACAAGCTCGATAAAATTTGTTTCCAATGACTGTGAGTCTATAAAAATCCTTTTGGTAAACTGTGATTTAAGAAATGAATTGGAAAGCAATTTTGCAGTAATGAACACTAGCAAGTAATATAGAGAAAATAAGACCTAATATGAACAGACAGGGGGACTATTACCTCCTTCCTCTTTACATTCGCACACAAATCCTGCTTCTCTTTTGCTATCGTGACAGCTCACATCATTATACCGCCCATGGCCGCCGTATTTTTTATACATTTGTGCACAGTTCTCAATACCGTTTGCGTTGCTAGGTTCTCCTCTTGCCTAGGGCCACACTCCTTTACTGGACACATTCACTGTGCTGTTATCACTCAACCATCTCCATACTCAAGTTGTATCTTTTCTCAAGCCTATGAAGTACTCAACTGTTTTCTTTCTTTGAATAGTTTTATTCAGAAAGTTCCATTCCTCGCGACTCTCAATAGAAACAAGGTTATATCCAGACTTTTCACAAAATTTTTCGCCTTCAGACCAATTGCACCGGCCATTGCTATCGTGGAAAATGTACCTGGAACCGTCGAACTTATACATATGACCTGAAAGTAGAATTCAGCAAAGACATACCGCATGCGTTAACCATTGACCTTGTTAGTCGATAATATCACTGTGGCAAGTTGAGAAGCATAAATAAACTTCTCATAAAACATTTTAATT